GAAAGGTCAGTTCGTAAGCTGCAGCTGATCAAAATATCAAAGTATCTCCTTACATGACCGCTCTATTCAGATATTCAGAGAGCTAGAACGAGCATCAAAATTACCGAAAATCCGAAATACAATTCACGATTAACTAGCCTGTACTAAGTGAAATTACCCGTTCGATATGCCTGTGATCACCGACTGTAAAATGCGCCAAGTGGACATTCTCGTCGATGGTCACCGAATCGGCGCCCAAATGCCAATGATAAACGATATCCCGTGTACTGTACCCGTAACTCTGCAATGAATGATAATGTTAGATTCAAAACTTTCATCGCATTTCATGATTGAGAAGCTGTCTACTGCTTTTCGGATGGTCAATGTTGACATGTGGTACCACTTAGACTACTTCTGAATGCCTCTAATTTACACTGAGAGTGAATGCAAAGGAGGTTTTGAGTTTGACTTTTAGCTGCGTTTCTGACGACAACAAACCAGTCATATTGGCAAAGCTGTTGATGACTCGCTTCTGTGAAAGTTTCGTGTGGAAGAAAAGTGAATGCTGTTTGGCACCTCCAATTTAGCAAAAACATCTGTAACTGCTAATGCTACATGTGTAAGAGATAAGGAAGGGATCGTCCGAATGGGAAAAGAGAAAGTAAATGAGAAGGTCAGAGAAACTGAAGCAAATGCCCTCGTTTTTTTTTGGAGCGCAAGATATTTTTCTTTTTTTTTTTAAGTAAGTGCGTATTTTGCAAATGAATAAAGAATACAAAAAACATTTTCTGCTCTAAAACAGTAGAATAAAGTGGAATGGAGTAAGAAGTCATGTGTAAGAAGACATATTAGGATGCAGTACGCGTTTCATCTCTTAGCTGTAAGCACCGACCGAACTTTGCGCACGGAAAAGATTGGGAATCATCAGTACAGCCTCCAACACGCTATGTACTAAATAGTCATGTGACTAATTTGAAAGATGGGGATATAAGAAGGAACAGAGAAAGAGAGAGAGAGATCACAGAGAGGAAAAAGAAATTCTCTAAAAACTTATTAATTAGTTGAAATGTTTTAAACTGCTTCTAATAACATAAGTTTACGGCGAATAACAGGAATATTAACAGGCTAGCACTCGGGCAAAGCAGAACCGGACAAAGCAAATGGAGATGTTCCGGAGCTATATAGGTTGAGAAAACAAATTGTGAATGGGCAGCTTTTACCAGTTTCCATGAATTGAATTTACAGAAATTGCTGAAAATATCATCCATTTCTTGCCAACCCCGGATGATTGGTGAAAAGTTCTTAACTGCCTCTAGCTATTTAGAATATATTAATACTTGAAAACCGGTACCGATCTTTGCATTTTTAGGACTATTTTTCCGCTCTGTTGGTAGATTGTCTTAGTGATTTACGAGGGTCCATTAATAATACGCGCATTTAAAGCAGTCTTAGTCACTTTTTTTCACAAAAGATGGATGTGTTTAGCAAAAATAGAGTGTGTTTATCGGTTTTTTTTTTATTTTTACAAAAAAGCACAACAAACTGAAAAGAAAATATACTAAATGTACTAATATCAAGTTATCAGTGTAGTAAATCTATCACAGTGCTTAGGGTACTCTCACATGCCATACATAGCTATATTAGATACTTTGATCCTGGTTCACATAACTCCAGTTAGTAGCCGCTGCGGCTCCTTTTCAGAGAGTGGCCAATCACTTCCTCGCGGTTATCACGGGATCATAATGCTTTAAGAAAAAAAAAAGAAAGAAATTGCATTTATAACTATGGGAAATGAAAAATATTAATTGATTGCGAACTAATATCGACTTAATCTAATACAATCAAACTAAAAATTTCTGCCAAAACTATAGAAAAAAAAAAAAAAAAACAAGTCAGTGGAAACATTTGAAAATGGGGCAGATATTGCATAGAAAAAAATGTTTGAGAAGCAAAAATTCGCTTCAGTTTCTAGCATACTTGTTTTCGTAGTTCTAGTATTCAGTTATTCGGTATACATATATACATGTATACATATAAACTTACATACACACATACGCATATATACACACAAAACGCACAAACATATATACACATACATTTACAGACAACAAAGACATACACAAAACCAGAAACACACATGCGTACAAACGCATACACTTTTACGTATATACTTATAGATACACACACAAATACACAGACATACACAAACAAAAGTTTTCTTGCTGTGCTTTACTTTAATTTACACAAATGTAGAAATGCGTGAAAATGTTGACTTACCTCAATTTCTAGCGCACATACCTGAACATCCAGCGGAAACTGAAATCACTCTCAAAAGTTTTGAGCAAAACCAATTTTTTTAGTAGCTTTTCCTTGCAGAAAACTTAAAAATCAATTTTTTAGAGTTTTTCATTGGTTTCTTCATCTGATGATTGGGGATGAAACCAAACCCTATCAGTTTTTCCAGATAAAAAAAGCGTATGAGTGGGAAGTATAGAAGTGCAATTTCTCTGTGATAGTACTTAAATTATCAGAGATGTTAGGCGCGAAAATGCTGTGCGTCAAAAGGGTTGGTGCTGAATTTCTGAAACAACAAAATTATTGGGAATTTTTAGGCTATTGTTTCTGCACTTATTCTTCTGAGTTTCTAAAACTCCAAAATTATCGGAAATCTCTAAACCTACTGTTCCTGCACTTATTCTTTTGAATTTCTGAAAATTCAAAATTATTGGAATTCCCTACATCTAGTGTTTCAACACTTCAGATTTTAAGACTGAAGTCAACTGCCACACTTCTTTTCCTGTGGGAGGAAATCACATTCATAAAGTGTACGAGGGCGTTTGCAGTCTGATAATGGGAGAACTGTATTTTCGTACTGTGGAAGGATTCCCGAGAGCTGATGACTTTCCAGAACGAGCTAATTCCAATTTATCATCGAAACAAGGAAATAGTTTCATCCGCGAGAGCAACGGAATGGTTTCGAATGCTTTCACTGCTGATAGAAACGAAACGCCAACGTTTTCAAAGAGTTGCGCTTGCACTACGCTAAATCAAACAATCGAAAATTTTGTTTTAATTCGAAAAAGAAAGCTTACACTATGAAGATTCATTGGACAATTAGCAGTGACTGTCAGCCTGAAGATAAATAAAATAATTAGCAAACACATATATTCAGGATTAAATTAATTCGAAGAAAAAAAAAAAGAAAAAGAGCAAAGAAAAAGAAAATGTTTTCTGGGCAAAGAAGAAGAAAATTTGGCTTTAGTTCCCTGATCAAGGGGGGGGGGGG